AGGAGTCTTGATTGTTAAGTATAGTGCCTGGCTCTCTTCTACACGACCTACACACACATCGAATACATGCGGCCCACACACAAGCCCCTCCACCCCCCCCCCTAAAAAAAGGCAACGACCAAGGAATAATTTACGCATGACCTTTATACACATTACGTTTAAAAGGCAGCATCCTGTGTGAGCTGCGCTTGAAGCGATAAAATCCCCTGCTGTACACGACCCTATGAATGCACACACAACTTTTAACACAAAAACGCTCTTGAGGGGAGGGTCAGGGTATATTTAAAAGTGTGTATGGCCATTCATGTAAAAGGAAACCACAAAATAACTGTGTTTCCCCTCTGCCTCGATGTTGAATCAGCATGTGCACAGAAGCAACTCGGAAACACCAAGACCGCAACAAAAAAAAGAGATGTTCTTAGAAATTAAATATGAAAAGCATAAAATATGCAGCCAGCTGTGGCAAACGCTGCCTGCGACACAGGCTTTCTCTCCCTGCCGTTACCGTGGCATGTTTTATTCAGGCATGATATTCTAAAAGCTGAAATAGAACAATCTACTTCCCCTTGCACTCCTCACTTTTGATTTTCCTGATGAATATTTCAAAAGAATGTTAGAAAAGACAGGAAAAACTCAACTCAGCGAGCCGGCGTCTGCCTCACCTCACCTCTCTCTCCCTCCCTCCCCCCCTCCCCTCGCTCTACACGACAGCTTCAGGATTCTCGTGCAAGGCTCCCTTAAGTAGCAGATTTGCTTAATTTTCTACATGATTTAACAATTTTGTGGAGTGAGCATTCAGGGGCATGAGAAGGGGGTTGAGAGGGGAGACTTTGTCCCAGGAGTTGAGGAAAGTAAAAAAGGGGAAAGGGGGGAGTGTGTTGGGGGGGAGATAAAGAGAGGCACAGTGCTGCGTGGACAGGAAACGTGTTCCCAAACATAACTCAATCCAAGCTGCCCACAGGACGAGCCAGCGGATCCGTCTCTGGCTGAAACTTTACGTTAAAAACTTCACCTTTGGATTTCTAAATGTTTGGATCATCAGAAAGAAAATCAACTTAGACAATTAAATATTTGGCTTTCTGGATTTAGAATAAAATCTAAAATACACGCAGTAAGCAGGTAAGTAAATTATGGACACATGTGAAAGGGACACATCTGCTCCGTCTTGTCCCTCATGCCTATTTATACCTGACTGGAATGCCAGCCACTGACTGACACACACACACACACACACACACACACACACACACACGCAGCTTTACAGGCAAAGCTATTGTTCTCTTTCAGTCCAAGCAAAGTCATGTGCACCACTACAATACAGAAAGCACACAAAGGCCTACAGTGAATAAATAAGAAAGGTGGACACAGTTAGTAGTCATCTATCACACACACACACACACACACACACACACACACACACACACACACACACACACACACACACACGGGGGTACAGTTGGTACTTACAGTCTTTCGGTGGTGCGGGGGATATTCCGTGGCATGGTTTTGAGACCCAGTCCATGGCAGTCGACTGTGGTGCCGCTGCAGGTACACAGGGCTGGACAGGCACTGACATTGCCCACGAGCAGCGCAGAGAGCATCACCACCCACATCCAGAGCCCAGCCCGCCTGCCCGTGCCTGCCCCGAAACGGCCACCTCCGACGGACATGTTCACTGCCACTGCAGCCAGCTATTCTTCAACAAAACCCGTACTAAAGAAAGTCCTGCTACACCTGGCAAGTCCTCTAAAAATAGCAATATAATGTGTGGTGAATATGAATAGAGAACAAGGCTATAAAAAGAATTCTATTATTTTCCTCTTAGCTGTGAAACAGTAATTCCTTTTTGTTCTTCTAGCTTTCTTTGATGTAGGTATGAGATCCACCACAGTTTGCTGACAAAAAAAGCTTTTTTTCTTTCTCTTATTTTTCTCCTTGAAAACTATTTTCCTCTCTTGTCTTTTTGGAGTTGCTGTGCTGCGCGCGCTCTGCGTCCTCTGTCCTCCTCTCACTCAGTCCCGCGCTGCTCTGCTCGCCTGAAGAGAGAGGGAACAGGGAAAGAGCAGAAAGAGAAAAAAAAACAGCCAGTCTCTCTCTCTCTCGCTCGCTTACACACACACACACCAGTCATCCATCACATGGATCTACAAATAGCAGAGCCTCCCGACTCCACCCCTACCCCTCCTCTCATACCCCCCCTCCAGCCCCCCCAGAACCCTGCCTGAACTCACTCTCATTCTCAAGATCCCTCTTTCGTTTCCTTGATTCTACGCACAATAGAATAACGGCCCCAGTTATCTTTGGTTATCCGTTTTCTTTTTCTTTCTGGTTTGCCTGCAGGCAAACCCCTTAGAAAGAGACCTGCATGACACTGCATAACCCCTTCCCAAAGGGAGAGGCTCTGTGTGTGTGTGTGTGTGTGTGTGTGTGTGTGTAACGAAGGCGAATCCACTGGGAGAGAGACGAATCAACACCTTAGTCCTCGGAGGCAAAAAGCATCAAGAATATAGAATCTGTAAGTGTGAGTTTCAACATGTAGATCAAGCACACGCACACTGAAGCTGCAGCAGGGAGCTGAATGAAAAAGCACAAAGACACACAAGCACGTCCACACAAACGCATTAACAGTATTTATGATCTGTTGGGAAGGCAAACAAACAGCAACAAAGGCGCTAACTGGCACACGATCCACCTCTTAACGGCTTAAGAAATCGTTTGATTAAAAAGTGGACGTATTAGAGCGCAGTGGTTGTTGACAGTGTAATTGCAGCTTTCAGGGAACTTTTCCAAAAGCAAAGTGATGAATCAGTTGGCGGAATCGCAAACCAGTGTTCTGGATGTGGGCAGGAAACACGCTTATCGTTTTGTATGGGTTTATGTTCACAGCTCGCAGCACAATTAAACAAATAGTCACACTTTCAAATAAGGTGAAGGGAGTTGAGAGAAGTTACAAACAAAAAGGAGCAACAAGAAGCACTTATTGCATAACTGTCACTGAACTCGTGTAATTAATAGATCCTAAATATCTGTGAATCTGCATAAAAATCCAATAATGAATTGCCATGTTATTATACACAGTGTATGTATGAGGTACTAGTTCAACAGCCCCTCATGAAGGGGAGTGCACTGGCAACGAAGGAGGTAATGATGCCTCATTGGTTTGCTGCCTTTTAGCCTCTGATTCAGCATTAATCCTGAATGATTCATTGCTCGCTCATCCGGAGATTCACAGATATTGAAGAACTTGTTAGACAACAGCTCATATATTCATCTGCAAAGCATCCCCAGTTTATATAATGATTCAGAAGGAAATACTAATATTGATTAATTAGCAGTTTACTTGGTTTTAAACTACAGTTTAAAAAAAGAAATAAGTTTGATACTTCGATAAAACTAAACAAAAAGTAACAAATTCCTCAGCTACCGTTAACTTTAACTAAAATCAGGCAGGAAAGATGCAAGAGGCAACATCTGAGTTTGGGGTTCATCCGTCCTGTTTTGTTGCTTGCCCAACTGGAAACACACACATATGCTGAGCCGTGAATGTCTGTACATGTGCAGGTGTGCAGGTGTGCACACACACACACACACACACACACACACACACACACACACACCGCAGTGTTGAGCTTCCTTCTATGAACGGCTAATTGAAGAGGAGAGAGTAGTGTTTAGGGGTAATGGGGGGTGGATGTTCATCCCTCCACTCTCATAGTCGTGATAAGAATGTACACAAAACGCACAACAGGAATCATTCTGCTGCTCTCAAAGCCTGTAGAAGAACATGGCAGCAAATTACGATTAGTTTGGGAAAGGAGGCGTTGCAAAAAACCCAAGCGCTCACCAACAAATGACTCCGATGAGGAAATAGCTGCACTTAATGGAGAAAGGTAGAGACGGAGTGAGGGATTCATTGAACATCATCCTCCAGCTTGTAACCCAACGTTTACACAGACGAAACCGGCTGCTTCTCCGTTGTCTCAAAAAGGGGGGGAAAGCAACAGAGAAGTGCTCAAACAGAAAGGAACCAATTTTAGCATCAAGAAAATTCCACAGCATGCTTCAAATAGTAGTTGTGTCTATTTTGAACTCGGCAGAGAAAAAGAAAGAATGATTATCACGCTGTCCATTGTTGGGAAAAGAAAACTATGCTGAAGTCTACAAAAATATTTCCACCTAGAATTTTTTCCCCCTTTTCGTGTGGTCTACATCTGTAGCGTAGACGGAATTCAGTTGCCACTGAAGGTCATTTTAGTGCACACATTCAAATCACATCCCCTCATCATATATGCTTGTGGGTTTGTGTGCACACCAGATGATGTAAAGTTGATTGCAGTATGTCTGAATCATTTTACAGTCATGGTGCTCACTTCCGAGTAGGAATGCTGCATGTAAAACAATACCATTCCTATTGTGGAAGCTGTCTGATGTATATTTACAGAAGACGAGAAAAAGCAGACCCATTTCTCCAGATGTTTACAACATATACTTACAATACCAAACATGCGTTGACATGGACACCATAATGACACAGAGACATTCCTCCTATTGGAGAGCAGCCTATTCTGTTACTATTCACCCTCCAACTCTGTAAAAATACCTTTCATTCAGGCCAATCGCTTACTGCAGACAGTACAGATGTCCTAATGTTCACCTTCAGCGACGTATTGATACTCAAAAAGGTACCAAGATTGGCTCTGTTTACTTCAGTTTGTTAGTTAAGTTTAATTATTATTATTATATTTAGGGTGTTAAACATAACGAGTAGTTTACCGGCAGATTTCTCTCATAAGGGTGTCGTCGACAACAGTCTCTGTTTCAGGCAGACGAATCATTTGCAGCTAAACAGCAGCACCTTGTGGTTCCGAATCAGTTATTCATCAATCCCGAAGAAAGAAAAAGTGGCAAAAACGGCAGAGAGTTCATAATTCATCCATCCTACATGTTTAATATAATATATGTATATACATGTGTTAATGTTTCAAATGAAAGGACATGGATCTCGGCTTGATTTCTTTTAATAGCAGTGAGTTGCATAGATTCTCAGTAGCATCAGTTGGCACGTTGACCAATCGTCACAGTATAATTGAGTTGCAAAAGCTTGTAACAGGCGATGTGAGCTACATGTGATCGGAGAGGCCGATATTTTAAGACAATGAGCAGGTTCAAGTTGCACCTGGTTATAAAACCACAAGAAAAGGGAGAAAACGCATTTGTCTTCATTAACCTTTGAAAATAAAAAATAAAAATAGAACAAAAGAATTATACATTTACTTGAAGTAAAAAGTTGAATAATTCTAAAAACATAAATGCATATTAAACCATAAAAACCAATGCATATTAAACAATAAAAAACAAGATGTGTTTAAAATAGCAGTAGTTTTTAGGTATCACAGTATTCTTTAGTATAACGTGTGGGGTGTTGGGAAGGAAGAGAAAACTATTGATATAAATCATATAATCTACACAAGATGTTGCTTTGGTTTTTAACTGTGTGCCTCCATTCTCTACTTTAATTTACCAATATCTGAATAAATTCTTTATCGGAATTTTAGCATTCACCAAATGTTATCTGGAATTTTAAAGAGGATATCTTTAATACAATGTTTCATTATAAAGAAATGAAAGATATTTTCAATTAAAAGGCACATATCAGATTCAAAGTCAAAGTCTTGTTCCCATTGCATTAAAATTTGAACTAAAGCTACTATAACTTAAAAAGTAACATTTAAATAGAAAAGCCTGCACTTCACACCGTGTCAATACATATGATACAAAAATAAATACATTTGCAAATTAAAACCTAAATAGCCACAAATTCATTTGAGTAAATGCATCTCACTCGCTGAACATTGTGAACGAACACGGAATAAGGACTTTAAGATGAATGCCGAGAGGCAATTTCAATGATTTAAAAGAATACATGGAAAATCCTCACTATTGTCTATTTAACCCCTTCTGCGTAGCTTAAGTAAAACTTGATAGACCAAAAGGGAAAGTGAGGCCAGGCTTGTCTGTGGCGAACCACAGCACCAGAACACTCAAACAACGGCACCAGGAAAACCACTCGGCACTGGTGGACGACACTTTTAGGAGGGAACTTTGCTGTCCCAAACATGTAAATGGCATACTTTGACTGCATTGGGATGAATTAAAGATGATTTCTACTCATACGCTTATCCATAGGTGCCCATGGTCATCATCACAGGGGAATATTTTCAGCCTCTGTGACCACAACAGTGGTTGAGGAAGATACGCGGTGCACTTTATTGGTCTGAGATACTCACTCCTACACAGCTGCTGATTTCTCTTGCGATGGGCCGCCGGCTGGAGGACTCCGAGGACCATTTTCTTTCTCTGCTAACAATTGGCTTCCCATCACCTTCCTCTGTTTTGAGAAACAAAAGAACTTTGCTGGGAGATATCCACAGGGAAGAGCGGTATTCATGATGACATTTTACACTCAAAACAAACTAAATGCAATTTAAAATGCTTTTCATCTAAATGCACTGTAATGTTATGGTAGTATATGTAAGACAGTGCCGTCTGACTTTGCAGAGTTTGAGTGTTTTAGTGGTACCAGTAATGTATGAACTATAACCCGTAATTAACTGGCTTTGTCGGTGCAAGCTCACCGTCGGGAATCTGAACAGAACAGAATGCGGCCAAAAAGTAGCGGCCATCGCTGCACACAGTACTGCCAACAAACCTTGATCATTCCACCAAGAGAGCGCGAGCGCCAGTGTTTCCTGCTGAACGCCGTCCGTGAGTCAGCTGAAGGGGTCAAAGGCTGCTTATCAAACTACACAAAAAAAAAAAAACATATTTAGGTGCTGGGTTGCAAAAAGTTGTGTGTGCTCTTTCTCCTTACAATGGGTACCGTACCTGTCTGATGAGCTTCTTCTTTTTGGCGGATTCAGGCATGTTGTTTACCTGCTGGTACAGCTCTCTGAGGGCCGATTCAGTGTAACTTTGGGTCTCACATGAGCTGCTGGTGGAGGTGCTGCGGACTCCACTTCTGATTGTTTTCATGGAAGGAGAAGGGGAGGCAGCTGTGTCAGCAGATGTGTGCCCACCTTCAGTCCCAGAACAGAGTACCAGGTCATCCTAGGAAGGTAAAACGTAACATGTGACCAGTTATTCTAATGTTGTTACCTCACTACAACCCAAAACTCCTTTCAATAGATCATCACAAGAAACATAATGCTGCAGAGTCACACGCCAGCAAACATTGCACCCTGTTTCCCTTCCCATCACATTGTCATATTGGGGAGGGGGGGGGGGGGAACTCATCGCCCATTGAAGTTCAAGTTAATTTTATTTTCACAGCAGAAGTGATGTACGGTTTCCTACAGAATAGATCTATACCTTCTTGTTAATTAAATAAACTAAATAGACATATCCTATTTACAACACGGGGTGTCATCAGTATCTTTGCAATTTACAATTCTCCTCTGGTCTCCGTACAGTGCACAGCGGAGTTTTAACCCCCGAACCACGTACACTCACGCACAAACACTCCAGCCGACTGAGTGCACGTCGGAAAATGTGGGTCTCTATACACATTACATCATATACATAAATAAATGAATTTGATAGGTAGACAAAATGCATACTTAATGAATAGATTATTTATTTATCACCATCATTATTGTGATTATTAGGAATTACTTATTCATTTTGCACAGATACACTGTGTAGTTACATAACCTACACAATTTGTGGATAATTGTCATAAAGAAAAATGTTCTGATGTTTAGTTAGATGTACAGTTCAAATAATTGTTCCGTTTGAACAAACAAACGGCCTTCAATGTTGAATACCAGCATGTTATTCAGATATTGTTCGGCAAAATCCTGTGAAAATCACCAGAATGTGAGGCAAGGAACAGACGAGTGTCTTTTGAAAAACTGAATTTAGACAGAAAGTATCTCAAATTAACCAGACACTGAGGCTAATGGATTCAAAAGTTAAAAAGGGGTAAGAAAAAACACATACCGATTGTTAAGATTAATTTATCACAGCTTCAACACTTGGTTATTAAGATGAACTAAGTTAGGAAAAGAATAAATGACAAAGGACCAAAACACTCACCTTCGATTGAAGAGTTTTTGATCCTGTGAAGTACAAGCGGGCATATTCTTTGATGTATGTAGGTGCCTTTAATGGAAGTAAACATGTCAATTATATCCTCCGATGAAAGATTATTGTGAATAATTAATCTAGTGTACCATAGATTCATGTGATTGGTATTGAGTCATGAACTTATTATAAACAATGGTATATTACAGATTTCAGAAAAGTGTACAATATGGAAACCAAACTAATCGTTGGGATCTGAAAGGCTGCTGATGATACAAATGAGCTTTTGTTACCGTTTCTTTCACATGTAAATGCAATATTCTTCCTAATTACCCTGCTTACATTCATTGTAACCCAGGCAACCACTTTGAGATCATTTCAAAAAGGTCATTTTAATGTATTTTGATATCAAATTGTTTTTTATATGAAATTAAATTTAGCTCAGAACATATAAAACCGACCACCTAAACTCATAAAATCCCACGAGCTATTTTCAGACAAGGCGGCGCAGAGAGAGAAGCGAGAGGCATACCTTGAACAGTTTCTGTGAGTGCCTGATAAGGAACGCTGTGCCATTATTCAGTCGCTCGATGTTTCCTTGCAGATCAGAAGCCATCACCTGCGACAGAAAAAGAACAAAAGAAAGCGTGCCAAAATAATTAGAGAAAACATTGATAGTTCATTTGACTGAAACTATTTACAAATTGATTTTCTAGTCCATCAACCATTGAAAACATTTGTCAGCATTATGTAATCCTCATTCGTGGTGTGAACTTGCTGATGAAGAGCGTTATGGGTGAGCGTTTTCCTTAAAGGACACTTAAATGTTCTCTGGATTAATGAACTACCGCTTCACCTCTTTAGCCATCCTACCCACAGGATAGTGGGGACATTTGTAACTTGTGCTTACATTTACATTAAGGCACTTACATTTTTGGGCCAGAGGATGTGTGGGGCAAACATTGTGGCGAGATTGATGGCAGACATCTTGTTGATGTGCTGATTTCGAGCAGTGTGGTACAGCAGGTCCAGCAGCAGTTTCAACAGGCTGCGGTTGGCTGGTGGGAGCAGCATGAAAAGCAGCTGAAAGGCTTCAATCTGGTGTTCCTTGTCGGGCACATTTGTCTTGTCCCCTCTTTCATCAAAGCGAGTTAGCTCTGGACAGAGCAAATAAGAGAATTGTTACAAAAGGGCAAGGGGCACTATATTTTTATTTTCGTAACATTAAATCTGGGACCCACACCTCCAATCTTCAGGTGGGCATGATAGTGTCTGTGCGTGAGCAAAGGCTCCGGCAGCTCTCCCAGATAGGCTTTGAGCAATGTGGCCGCGTCGTTGGGGTGGAAGTCGCCCGTCTCTAGATCGATCTCCGCCCCGCCATTCAGCATCTCCCTGAGGGCCGCCTGTCTTAGGCTGTGGCCCGGCACACGGAACAGCCCCTCCACATGGAGGTCTGAGGGGTGAGAGGGAGAGATGGGGAGAGAAAGCCAAAGCGGTGGGGAAAAAGACATGTGGTGTGTAGACAGAGAGACCCGGAGGGAAGGAGACATAGGGAGACAAAGAAAGAAAGTGATGACAGGGGCCGAGTGAGTGCAGGAAGGAGACAGCTGGAGCAAAGAGCTTTCAGATGAATTATTGACCCAAGCCTTTGCTGCCAGTGGCTATTTTCACTGAATCACATCATAGCTTTCTAGAAATAATCCATGACAACGTGATAATTCACTGCTTTCCAAAGGAGTCAAAGCCCTAAGAGTCAGGATCCCATTCTGATGCTTAACAAATACAATATCATCAAAGTTAATTGTACGTGCAGAGCATGCAATTCAACCAGGTGTATCAAGACAATAACTTATCAGGAAACTACTGCGTTTGTCTCGACAAATATCATCACGGGTACAGATCTGTCTGTCTGTCTGACCTGATGGTTGAAGATATGCTATTAAGTGATACTCACTTTTACTCAGATATTCAATGAGCTGATAGATCTGTGCTATTCCTTCTTCAGTCAACGGTGCACCGAAAACCACTCCTTTGTCTGAAAGGTAGAACATAGTAGGGTACATTTTTATACTTTACATGTACAATTGTCTTCATTCTCGAACCATTAAACATGCCATTAGATTCATTAGTTCCCTAGAATCGTTCCATCCATCACACGGACCCGCTGCCCCCGGTTAAACATGAGAACTTATGAAGGTTTATGTGAAGACAGAAACTAACAATTACTAAAATGGTCAATGAATACACTTTTTATTAGAGCTGTAACAATTTGTTCATGCATGGATTTGGAGCAAAAAAGTTACTTAAATCACCTTTCAAGCAAAAAAACATTCCCTTGCTTCTGCTTTGCACAATTGGTAAAAATGTGCTGCTTTGCTTGAGAATAACAAGCAATTTGGTGATGTTGCGTTTGGTCATTTTTAATCGTACAAATAATAATATTTATTGATATTATTGATTAATTAAATAATAGAAATTTAAAAGAGCGATATCTACACATTAGCTTTCATGCCTCACCGGCCACATAAACAAAGATATGCAATCGCAATTACATTAAAAGGTACATGCATTCCTGGAATAAACAATCCATATTGAAACGAATAGATACAAGCTAAATCCTAAATGCTTAGGAAGGGTTAAATGAAGGGGTCAAATTTCATCTATTCACTCAGGTGTATCATGATGATATATATATATATATATTTGTTTCAAACAAGGTGACATTGCTGGTCTGAATGCAGTAGATAATGTGGGTGATCTGTTGAACATCGGTCCTTTTGTTTATACGTCCTAATGCATCAGAATGACACGATAAAGACTGTGAGCTGCTTAAAGGCTCGTTGTTTTATGTCAGCTCACCTTTGCGTTTATTACGGAAGTTGAAGGAGCGTAGAAAGCCAGTGGCGGAGGGCACCTTCGCCTCCGACTCGCCGGTGAGCTGCGAAAACTCGTCCCCCGGAAGGTCTATGAGACGAGTAATGTTGCTAAGTACCAAATCGGCAAATGCATGTGGATGCTCGTGTCTCAGCCTCTCCACGAAGAAGTCTGGGTTGAAGATCACAGGCTGGCTCATGTTCGGCTTTTCCTGGCTGGTAAACACGCTGCATTTTGTCCCACTGTCAAAGACAACAAAAACAGATATTGAGTTGGAGACTTAATGGGATAGTAAGGTTTAAGACTGGTGCCTATCACCATTTTAACGTAACGTTACGTTACTATCAGCAAACCGAGTGGATTCTCGGTTAGCTACCGTTAAGATAACTAGAATGGCTAACGCTAACCAGTGTGATACTAACGGTAGCGTTATTACTTAAATAGCGTTACTTCAAAAGACATATAGTGCGTTAACAATAACGGCAATGGTTCCAAAAATTACTCTTCGTATGGTAGTTTACGTGCCGGCTCATTAATGGATATATTACACGAGAAAAGTATACCTTCTGCTCAGTTTGTGATTGTTGTGGGCATCATTTCCAGCCGCCATTTTCGTTTTGAATCTTCCGCTGTCTCATCTTTAGTCCCGCCCACCGCGTTGTGATTGGCTGATATACACTTACGTCAAAACCGCTGAACTGATAACGAAGTGATAAGGGCTACACTTTTCCTCATTCATTTAGTCTCATTTTACAGGGTTGCATAACGACATTTTTGTAGTTCTCCCTTTACGCTACACAATAATTAACTAGATAAAACATAAGATGCTCTGTAGTCTGGTGTCATGGCAGCAGATACTTCATGTTCACCCTCCAGTTTTTTTTTCTTCCACTGACAGTCTTAGATTAAATTCGCTGACCCTGTGTACCTACAACTCCAACATGAATGGCTCCGCTTAAATAGAGTGGCGTAATCTTGACTACAAGTGAACTGCTGCAAGTGGGAGTCTTTTAGTATCCTCTGGGCAGTGTGCAGACTTTACCAGATGTATTTGATGCTCAGTAGTTGGAGGATGTTCTGGGAGTTTTGAACCTCCTGCAGAGCCCTTTTGTCCTGGAGTGTGCACAAACAATGAATGTCTAATGGTTCCATTCAGGAGGCTTCTTCTCTGACATGGCATGGAAAGTTTGCTTTCTTTTGACATATAAATCACAGTTTCCTTGCTAAGGTGGATGTTAAGTGATTGCTGATTCCCCGGAACAAAAGACTGTTCACTTGACCCCCCACGCCCTCGGCTTCATCAATGTGTCTCCTTTTTTTAAAATCTAAAAATCCACAACCAGCTCCTTGGTTTTCATGATACGTTGTTTATGAGCACACTGGAGTATAGCTTGATCTATTAATATATCATCTTTTTATTTAGACTTATACTATGTATTAATAATCACAATCTGCAAAGCAACTATACCGCCTCAAGTTGTTTAATTCTTGTAAAACCATACAATATATGCTTCTAAACTGTGGACAAGTGGTTTAAAGTATTGTGAAATTGAAACTTGAGTAATTGAATGTAACATTCTGCCAATTTAAGTTAGGTGTGTTAGGGAACGGTTGTAAGTTCAGCAGAAAAAGAGCAATTTGTTGAGAGATTCATATACTGACAAAGGCAAAACTGAATGAAAAATCACATATGTCACTGCAGAGTTGAGTGATGATTCTTTGTGGGACTGTTAGTGATCCCTTTCAAGTGCTCATTTGACCTTTTAACCCTTGAGTCAACTATGAGCTTATCAGAATGTTAGTGTAAGTTAACCTGCAGTCCTACGCTTTGTATGTATTTGTATGTAAAAATGTATTTTTAGTTCAACAAACTACATTGTTGTGTTAAGAGAAGGGTTTCCAGTCCACAGAACATTAGTAGGCTGATACAACATTTTCATTACACTTTAAACATAGGCAGGAGAGTCTGCAGCATCAAGTGCTTTTTGTGTCCACTGGTACCTCAGAGGTGATGAAGTTTCATCATTTGGTATTTTTCTGGCAATGGCACTTGCAAAATTGCGTGTAGCAGCAGCAGTGTAGCAGCATGTAGCAACATTTATATTAAGAACGGAGTTGTACAAGGTTTTCTCAAACTATTGAACAATATACTTAATACTTCAAACCCAACATAGAAATAAACACTAGCATATTTTACCCAGTACTTTCAGTGTGTCATATCACACTTGACATTGAAGGTCTTCACATCCATCACAATAATTTAAGCTTCTAAGCACCACACATACAAATCCTAACCCCATTTCAGGCACGAAATAAACAGAAACAGAAAAATGACAGCCTACAACTACATTCTGAGATACTGAGTAGGAAAACAATCATTTCCTTTTTTATAGATAGATGTTATTGTTAAAACCAAAATATGTTCCAAAACCAAAAGGTACTGTAATGGTTGAGCTGGATATACTATATATGTATATATGTATATACATATGTATACAGCATGTATACAGTTCTACAGCATGCCCTGCGAAATACACACACATATATATATATATATATATATATATATTCTTTTCAATAATACAGCAACAACAACTGCACGAGGGGCAACAAGAGATAACAATTCAGTTCGCTTGTCGCTGCTCTTCTTGAAAGGGGCTTTCATGGCTATTTCCAATTTTAGGATTGGTTTGGTCAGAGATTGTGTTTCTCTTCTTGGCCATGTTTGCTCCATAGCATTTACCAGAATTCTTCTTAATGGCTGTTGTGCTTGCTTCTTCAATAGATGTTCTCTGACGCATGCTTCCAAATTTCCAGTAGCAGTGAGACCTGAGCCTACCCAGAGTTCTACAGCATGCCCTACGAAATGTGCGGGAGGAAATGCAGAAGAGCAGCGGGTCCAGAGCCCCGTTGATATACCACAGTGGAAGAGACAAGTACGATTTCAGGATTGTGTAGACGGAATGGACCGTGTCGGACCACACCACCACGTAAACCTGCATCAGCGACGAGGCAATGTCCGGAAAGTTGCAAACAAAGAAGGCCACCAAAACCGCACCTGTAAGATATAAAAGAGAAGATGTTAATTGCTTTCGCTCAGGTTTAGGGATCTTTATATTAATTGCATAAATAAGCAATTTTGAGCATAATTTACCTTAATGAACGGCGTCAAAAATGTGGACAGATCTGGACACTATATCAAGAAGCAAGTTAACTAAGTATGCCGTGCAACACTCATGCTCTTACTAGACGTGAAAAGTTGACAAAAAACAGTTTTTTTCAGCACCCCAGCCATAGATGAATTGTAGACCGTGATGGACAACGAATCATATGCAGACAAAGAAATGCTTTTTGCCAACCTAAACCTAATTTTAACTTAAAATTACTGAAACTAATGATGATTTCTGTGCAATTTATTCATTGTCTGGTTTGCAGCCCAGAGAGAAAGAAGTAACAAAGGGTCCATCATCACCTTCTTGCAAAGGCGTGGGAAATTGGGTGTCCCAATTTCTAGAGTCACTGGACACTAAGACCTTTAAACGGTCTTCATCCGGCAATGGATATATCGATAGGATATACCACAGCACTTGTGAGATTTGCTATGCCACAACCTCGAGAATGTGTAATTTCCCCAGGCTCACCCATCAGTTTAAGAGCTCTCTTTTCATTCAAAAGTAGCTTTCCATTCTGATGGCACTGAATATCTCGTCTTCCTTCTGGATCCAGCCGGGTTATACCCATATTTCTCCTTTGACGTCCATTCCGCATCAGGTGGAGCAGGATGAGCAGATAGAGAATACAGATGGAGACCAGTGGGACCTGTCGGAGAGGCATGTTGAGTGCCTGCGTTATGAATAAGGTAATTATATAAAAGCCTCTCAAACAGCACTTATCTTACCAGAAAGAAGATTCCCGCTCTGATGAGCAAAGCACCTTTGTAAATATGTGCAGGATCCGGCTCTGTCATCTCACACATGGTGGACACGTGAAAGGCGTCTGCTTGTGTAGCGGCAGTGTAGTCCAGGATGCAGGCAAGAGCCTGGTCATAGACCAGAGCAAAGGGCACCGCCGAGACCAGAGAAATGATCCAGACTGCAAGGAGGGACGGCAGCCGAAACTTCTGTTGGAACAGAATATACAAAAAAAGAACACGTCAAATAACTGCTGTGTTCTTTTTATTGCACCATATCCTGCAGGTTATCTTTGTACTTTAGAATGAACAAGGAACATGTGTCATATGCATTTTGGGAAACATCGTTCCAAAGCATATCAGGGCTGGAAAAATGGTGGAAACATTATAAAGCTTTTTAGAATTTAATCTTTTTTGCAAAAACTTACCTTCAAGTTGGAGACGGACCACATCGTGTGGCAAATGGCTGCGTAGCGCTCAGTGGTGAAGGTCATGATAACCCAGCTTGTGGTGGCACAGTACACTTGACGCACCATGAAGTAGACTTTGCACACTGTGCGGCCCAGACGCCATGGGTAGCTCTCCCAATAGTATCGATACAAAGTCACCGGGAGGGTCAACAGCTGCAAGATGTCTAAAGTTCAAAGGAAAAAAAAAAGGAAATTTAGGGGAAATTGTGTTCTGTAAAATCAGTAGATGTTAATAGACATTAAAACATAATAACAATAAAGTGTCTGTTTTACACTTAGTTCCATCAGAATATTTGTACATATGAAAAAGTTCAGATTAGTCAGATTTTTCATAAAGTGCATGAAAATTCAAAGCATCACGAGCCAAAATGTGGTTTGTGTCACACATAACAAGAAGAAATAGTGGAATCAGGCCTGTTGTAGACGAAATACAATACACCTGCATACATGTCAAACAATGTAAAAGCTAAAACAAACCAAATCCATCTACCACATTACAACTTTTGGGCGTGTCATTGGTATCCCCCTTGAATGGAGCGGGAGGGCCTAGTGTACCTGATATGACCAGGCTGATGAGGTAGAAACGAATGGCACTGACTCTCATTTGAGCATCCATGAGGAGGGTCAGTAAGCTCACACCATTGAGTGTAACCTGTAGAGCAAGTGGGAGCAATTTGTAAGAATGAAAAAGTCTAGGTTAGTTTTCTCTCAGCGTATAGCTAACATTGTGTGACTACCATTTAGCTTCGTTCTATTCCAATATACCAGTGATGTCATTTAGAAGGTAATATTGCTACTGTGTGAAGTGTATCCAGTAAAGTGACTGTTCATACTCCAAAGAAGAAAATGATGCTGTAGAAAATGGTCATGGGGACAGCTATATTTAGGGGCTCCCTTTTGGAGACACCTATATCAAGCTGAGGCTTCTCACTTGGGGTGACATTACAGGTGAAGAGGGAGGAAATCTGCTCCGAAAGGTCCATGGTGTGGCAGCTGGTTGACGAAAGAGAATAACGATTCAGAGAGATGACGTATAAACTCACACCTGACTGTCTGGGGTTCTTTATAATAACAATGAATATAAAAACAAAACGAAAGCTTAAATAACTTTTGTTGTAATTTAGTCTGCTCTTAAATGTGTGTTGCCCTTCTCTTTTCTTGGCGTGCAGAATTCAGTAGAACAACCAGCCAGAAGAAGATAAGTGGAGGGCCGCTGCTTGCAATTTCATCCCACTGGGATAATCTTAAACGGCCTCTCGATTATTATCTCTGAGAGAAGAAAATGAGAAAAGATGAATCTCGCAATTAACAATTCCACGTTCTTCCTTTTTTGTGGAGAACATAATTTCTCAAATGTGCACTAATTCCTTCTGGCTCATTTTGTTAATTTATAATAATAAATATAATGTTGATAGCATATACACTATTTCTATACCTAAAGACACTGTGATTTTCAGATGCAGTTGTCAAAAAGCATTGCTCATTCACCTAAATTTACTATAAGCCTATAAACATTCATACAAACACATCTAATAAAATGATTCATTCAGCAATTACAGACACATGCATATTTGAAGGAGTTTAAAATTATACATCAGCAAGCACACATTCCATTATCACATAAGTCATTCACTCGTATAGCTGTTGCATTTACAGCTCTCAGCTAGAGCTCAAATTCACCATGTGAATGTATTAGCAAAATGACAGTAGAAGGAGAATGGTGTTATCTGAGAGCACAGAATGCTGAGTGCATGGCTGCAATTAAATTCATCTGTCAAACATTAATTGAAGAGATCTCTTGAAATTAAAATCCGAACACGTCTTGTACAACCTGTTATGCTGCCAATATATTCAGTCGGAAGAAAAAAAGAAATATATATATATATATATTTTATTGTTCAGTTTATATTTGATAGTCTTTTGGATAAATAATGTGTCGACTTACCTTATAGAGGAATAAAACCCAGGGTGAAGCCGGCTCTCTTCACAACAAAAGACAACTGCAATAAGCTCACTTCTCTTCTGCTCAGCTTCTCTCTCTCTCTCTCTCTCTCTCTCTCTCTCTCTCTCTCTCTCCCCTTCCTTCCCTCCCTGCCTCCCTCCCGTCCTCCCCGAATTTCAATCTCTCAAGTCATTGGAGCATGTTTTTACATGCAAGTTAGTGTGATAGTGTGTGTGTGGATCCTGTTTGCCTATCAGCACTGTTTCAGAAGAGATAATGTCTGGATATTTCTTGCAGATATTCAATCAACGAGCAGGAAAAAAAGTACTTAAGTAGAAGTAAAAGTATACATAACGTCTTGAGTAGAAAAACAAGAGTAAAAATGTAATGCAAAAAAATCTCCAACCACCTTGAAACAGACAGTATTTCCAATCTGTTTCCCTCAAATGGTCACACAATCTATGGTTGTCTCTTCAAAGTGTGTAGGTGCGTAACTTGTTATATCACAGAATCATTTTCGCTGCTGCAATGTGCATTTTTTTTGATGGAGACATTTGGATTGAAATTGCCCTTCTTTGCCCGACCATCTATTTTGCACGAAGTGGTGCTGCACAGAAGGTGCACAGAAAGACGGCCACATTTCAACACAACCAAAGTCGGCTTAGGCTCCGCGTTGTTCTGCAGAGTACGCATTGGTTGACGTAACCATCCTCTCATCTGACTTTCCCAAAATGTACACCTGTTCCTTTTAAAACTTAGTTAACCCAGTTTTCAATATGACACTGAGTTTAAACTACAGATTTAGTTGTTTGTATCAAAAAAAGTGAAGCAGTATTTGAAAAGGGATTTTATTGTTTAACATAACAATTATTTACATACAGGATATGACTTCTTTTTTTAATACAGATGTTACAATATTAGTAAATAGTAATGCCCGTTTCTGGTTTTTAAATTAAACAACAAAAGCAATTCATGGAATAAAATAAAAAGTACAAGTGCAGAATCAAAGAACCGTGGTGTCTTCTTGGTTAATCCCTGCATCCTTTGCCATTGCATAGAAATGGCCGTGTTTTTGAAGCAGGTTGCTTGGAGAATCAAACTCCACTATTCTACCAGCATCAAGCACCATCACCCTGTGGAGAGAGAGAACAAAGGGAGGAAGTGTAATCCACCGAGCAAATAATGGCTACCAGAGAAGGGTGATTTGACAGCAGTTAACTTCCAAGCTCAAGTTGAAAGGAAATGGATGTGTGGCCATTTGTATGGTTAATTAAGAATAGGTATATGAGGTATGAGATGGTATAGTTCTCTCTTTCAGTTAAGAATTACAGTCAGATTTTGATGTAGATGTTTTTCCATGTGGGTGATCCCTGAATGAGACGGAAAAACTGCCTAGGAATTGTCTGTTTTAAAGGCATGATGCATATGCTCCAGATCAAGATTGATGTTTTAATGAAATAAAATGGAAGGATGAGCTCTATGCGGGTGACCTCCAGGGAAAGTAAAGAGGCAATGCATAAGATAAATTTGATGACTGAATGAAAAAACACTTTGGGGTTCTTTACACATAACCTAAATTTCACAAAAAGGTCATACATATTTATTCAAAGCTTTGTTTACCAAAGGGAAATGCAGTCAGAGGCAGCATCTGCTATCAAAGTGCTGCAGATGAAAGTGCCCCCTCTTCTTGCTTTGCTGAAGTCATGAGTTCACGTTTGAGTGCCCAACACGTTGTGGACCTGACATTTCTTCAGATGTTAGTTAAAAGACTGTCATACAAAGTCAATACACAGACTATTGTATTCATGATAAACATACTTGTAATGCAATAGAATTATAATAAGTATATGAGTAATATACACTCACAAGTATTCATAATACTTTACATCGATAATAAACGTGGGATATAAAAAATTAATAATGTATTGACCAGCATCTATGAATAATGATAATGAATGTTTTGTATGAATACTTATCGGTGTGTAACTATAAAACACATTCTACTTGTGTTCAATGCATCACAGACATGGGCTTCACATAGAGTGCTATTATTTAGGTTTTTCAAAATAAATGTGTATCTAACAACTTAGTTATTTTAAACTATTGATGTTGTCTGTTAACCTTTTGGATTCGGTCAATGATAAAAAATGGACGCAGCATTTTGTAGTTGAAATCCTTATTGTACAGTAAGAAAAATCATGCTGCCAAAAAAGGGTCAAATTGTTCCTGCTTCGCTTCAGTTTATTTATTGGTTAAGGGAGTAAATAGCAAAAGCATATATGACCAAGTTAGAAAGATTGAAATGGGTTCAGTGTGGATCCTAAACACGACGCTTAGAGGCTACGAGAACAGCTCCAATAAAGGCTCTTTTAGTAATAGCAGGTGAGCACCATTATATCTCAGTAGTGACAGCAAGGACGTGACAAGTCCCTGGCTGAAGTTAGAAGTGAATTCTGGAAGGACCGAGGTCAACGAGTGGAAGTATACTGAGAACTGAATGTGGCATCGGGTAGTGTGGAAATATTTGAAACACAGCTCCTTTAAAAAATAAAAAGTACATACAAAAATAGTTTTGGAATCACATTTGTTTTTGCTTATGTGCGTATTGCAGCTTGTTAAATTGTATCTTTCAGTATATTTCAAATGGATAACTGTAGAATACGATGAATAAATCCATTCATGCTCAGACTCCTCCCCTCACCCACAGTCTATGGTGGGGTTGCCGGAAAAGCTACTGAAGACTTTGAACTCAGAATTTCCCATTTTATGACTTGGATGTCACAGCTGTGGCCGTTGGGCTTTGGTCATAACACTGGTAACCCTACTGGCTGGACTCCTGTCACATGAAAAACTGAGTACGACTAGCCCATTGTTTGGGACAAAATCAAATCAAAAAAAGATTTGACAAGCAAACAAGTATTCAAAATCATTTCAATGTTTGGACAAATCTAACCTAAAAGTGATCACAAGAATAATGGAGTTTGAACATGTAAAGTTACACGCATGACGTTCAAAAGCTTCAAAACAAACAAACAAGTGGAAATCTACTTCACCAACTGCTGTTTTCAAGCTGCTTAGAATAAACCGACAAAAAGTCTTGAATGCTTTGAATAATCAAATGTAGTAAATGGAGCAACAGGTCTGGTCAGCAGTAGAACTTTGAGATGGGAATATTCTTTGATCGTAAAAGCTGCATGTGTTTTATTTAAAGAGCTTTCACAATATAACAGGGAAGCATTAGCCCATGAGAAGATGTTGCATAAATAATGTGTAAAGATTAAATGTGATTTCAACACTATACTCAAGTTGAGGAAGAAACAAATATAGCTATTATAGAATGCAGTGACACCTCATCAAGGTATACTAACTGACCTGGAGCTGTCCATGATGCTGTGCAGGCGGTGGGCGATGGTGAGGACAGTACAGTGTGAAAACTCTTTGCGGATGGTGTTCTGAATGAGGTCGTCTGTCTCCAGGTCCACAGCTGCTGTCGCCTCATCCAAGATTAGGATGCGTGTCCTCCTCAGCAGCGCCCGCGCCAGACACAGCAGCTGCCTCTGTCCAACACTGAAAAAAGAGCCATATGCTGAAGATTCTCTTCTTACCCGCAGATAAAACAAATACACCACGAAGCAGAATCAGACCAGCTGCAACGCAGAATCGGGCCCGGGGTGTAAAACGGGATTGTGCGATGCAGCAGCTCCGTGCTAATAACTAATTTCCTCACAGGATTGTATTTCATGTCTTATCTTTTCTTACAAATCTTTGAGTTGATTCTATGCAATTTACCCGTGTGTTAACTGTGTGTGTACTTTTTTAACCCAACTAAAAGTAAGCGGCTTTGCACTCACAGAAAAAATAGTTCTCAGAAGAGTAAGATTTATTTTCATGGCCCACCTGAGGTTTTCTCCTCCTTCTGCGACTTCATGTTGCAGTCCTTCCTGCAGACCAGCTGCATAATCTTTAAGGTGGGAGAGCTCCAACACTCTCCATATCTCCTCATCACTGAATTTGTCAAATGGGTCCAGGTTCATCCTCAGGGTCCCAGAGAACAACACTGGATCCTGAGCCCGTGCGGTTTGATAGTTTAGTGTACTATTTAAAACTGAATGCTGCCTGTAGTTTGTGTTGTATGTCGTGTTTACCTGTGGGATGATTGTGAGCCTGTTTCTGAGGTCATGCAGGCCAATTGTAGAAATATCTACATCGTCAATCAGGATACGACCTTCAGCAGCTTCAATAATTCTAAACAGGCAGTTGGTCAGGCTCGATTTCCCGGCTCCAGTGCGGCCGACTATACCAATCTGGTAGCAGGGGGACACAGAAAATAATTGTTCACATAAAACATAAAAAAAGAAAAGAAAAAAAATGACGCACAGCTCTATTAGCATTTTAAACCCCATCCAAACCAAAATATATATCTAAAAACTGTGCCAATGTACCTCTCATACAGCAGCAGTCCGGAACATTTTAGCTTGAAAATAGTTTTTAAAAACACTATGCAGTCATTGACCATCTGTTTCTGCAGGCAGAAGAGTGTTTTATAATTCTATAAAAAAAGATATTTAAGGCTGTGTAAGAGCCAAATATGGGTGTGACGTCATAACTGTGTTCCCTGTTGTGTACAGTGCACTGTAACAAATTGCTGTACATTTAGGTGCATTTCTATCTTACAGTATGTCATAATAACTGTAACATACAGTTAAATTTCCATCCCTTGCTTGTAAATGAACGGCCAATGTCATGAATAAACAGTTAAAGCTGTCAATTTATGATAATCGCAGACTACCGTAATTCAACTGCTTGTTACATATATTTTATGAAGTGGTGGAAATACACATACAAGGCTGTAACATAACAAAATGTGGAAAAAGTGAAGCGCTGTGAATACTTTCCGGATGCACTGTATAGCTTTCACTGGCATCCGCTGCCAGTATTTTACCATTAATTGACTGTAAAGTTCACGCCAATTTACTGCAATTCATTTTACGGTAAAATAGTGTAAAAACATTATACCGTAAAATAACGGTAAATTCCGGGCGTCCTTGCTGCCAGTAAGTTACCGTTAATTTATGGTGAAATATTGCTATAGAGTTTGGGTGACGGTC